CTGGGATGGGGGTGGGGTCTATGGGCACTGGCTGAAGGACTTAGCATCCCTTGGCCTAGAAAACTGCCATCAACCCATCCTTCTCAATCCTGCATCAGCAGCACCCTCGGACAGGAGATGCTGCCAGTCTGGTAAAGCGGGGGCTCTAGGAGAACCCCACCTGCACTGCTTCCTCCCTGTTCTGTAGTTGGACCTGCATATGCAGGTGTGGTAAGACTCGAGAGTTTGCTTGTTCTAACCCTAAGGAACTAAAATGAAACCCTATTCATCTTCACCACAGTGGGAGTTGGGGTGGGGCAGCAGTTATCAGCAGGGCTCCCTGAGCAGCCTCCTCCACGGCCTCACACAGACCTGGGGACCAGGAAACCGACCCAGTGCCCCCTCAGACCCTCTGGTAGAGCAGGCTGAGAAGGGGCAATAGAACCCTGCTGTATGTTTAGCTTAAGAAGCCAGGGGATATAGATTATGTACTTAAATATGCAACCGGAGATCATGCCCTAAAGAGAAAAAAAATGTCAACATGGGTAAGGATCCATTAAATCCTTACCACAGTTTGAAGTGACTGCCTCAGTCCTAAGCGTCTGTTACTCATGGAGAAGCTCTGACAACTGGGCTGCTGCACTCGGCCCTGTTAGGGGTCCCTCCAGTTCTGCACGGCCAGGCCCTGCCGCTGGGCACCCGCCCTCATTACCATGTCCCCCGCTGTTCCCCACAAAGATACACCTGACGGCTTAAAGTGACTCAGACTATGTCTCAGAGTCCTATGAAAGCAGGAAACACAGAAAAGTTGTAAAGCTATAAAACTTTGTATCACTTCTTTACACAAAGATTATTTGAGGCTCGCTATTACACACACCCCACATTATTCTGAGGTGGCGTCAGTAGCTGCTGAGAGCACAAACCAGACCACCTGGGTTTCAGTCTCGACTCCTCCCCCTCCTGCTAGCTGTGAGACCTTGGGCAAGTTCCGTAACTTCTCTGTGCGTGTTTCCTCCCGTGGAAAGTGGAGATAATGGTGCCTACCTCGTGGGGTTACTAGGAGGAATGGATGGATTAATGCATGTAAAACACTTAAATAGTGGCTGGCACACAGCCACACTCTCGCACTAGTCGGCTGCCCGCTGCTGCTCTCTGAGCAGGAGGTTCCGGTGCGGGTACGCGTCCTACAAGACGAGGGTTGGCCGATTGCTCTAATTTCATTGACATGTTCTGAAGGAGTGACCACGGCTGTAGGCATCACTGCGGTCTGCGCAGGGGAATGGTTTGGGGGTGCTGAGCAGGGCGGAGCTCCCAAACAGAAACTCTGGTGACTGCAAGTTTTCTGTTCTTTTGAGCCCAGTGAACCACACAGAAATTGGTGTTTTCTTTGCCAAAGGGAAGTAAAAATCCATGGCTCAGGGTGCCTTTTGTCCAGTGAGCCCACATTTTCATCCGGTGTGTCACCGAGAGTCCTCCTCCTCCTATTTTATTATGTGCATTAAGACAAATCACAAGATGAAACCTGTCACAAGGGCTAGAATTAAACCTGCCAATACACACATCACTGGTAATTGCCTTTGCAGAGCCCGGCTTCAGCCCCACGCTCCCCCAGATGCTCAGCCCCAACACGGTGAGCTCAGGGCAGGAACCCTGGGCACGGGGGCGCCGGCAGCCCTGGGGCCTGGGGGTCACTTCCCACTGAGACTGAAGTCTGCTTTGTCATTGGATTCAGAGGACTACTTTCCCATTTAAATAAACAGGTTTCTACCTAAAAATTCAGCCACCTCATGTGCGGTTTTACTTACATGAGTCACGATCTGATATCTGGAAACTGCCTCTTCCGAGCACTTTGGGAAATTACCACTTCAAGAAAGATGGATAAGACATCATAAAGCCCATCATTGGCAGTGCCCTTAATCCCACATATAAAATGTTCATTTGGCAGCCATCCTTCCCATTTTTAATTGACTAAAGCAGTTTACCGTCTGGCCCTCGGCTGAAACATTAACCAAACAAAGGACGAGAGTGCGGGTGTTCTACAGACACGATGCGGCGCGTGGCCGAGGGTCCCGGCGACCCGAGGCAGGAAGTGCTTGCTGGCAGCAGGTAGAAATAATCCCGAGTTCTCCCAGTTGCTCTTCTCCAAAGGCTCCCAGCATCCCCTCGTGACCTCAGAACTGCATGTTCATACTAATAATCAGTAGGTTAAACAGGAATACAAACCCCCCAACTCTTCCCAAAAGTTGCCAATAATCTTTCAACATGTACAGGGCTCCAAAGCATTAGCTGGAGAATGGCGATGCTCTAAGACATATTATTCGAGTCAGTGCCCTTCTTGGGCAAGAAGTTCCACTAATACACTGGTTTGTCCACTAAGCTTTAAACTCGATCCTACTTTTAAAGTCAACACGTTTATTTATATCAGCCCCTGTCGTTTGAGTGCTGAAGAGACAAATGTCAGGTTTCCTTGGTTCTTCGATGAACAAATAAAATAAAAACAGATATTCAGGCTGGGAAAGAAGACAAAAGGGACAAGGCTGACTTTGGTCATGCTTCCCATTTGAGCTCCTCTGGGGCCAGAAAATGGCTCACACTAACACAGGCATTGGACTCAAATAAGAAAAAAAATAGACCAGCCAAAGTTTAAGTCAAGTTTATTTTCCACTTTTAGTATTTTTCAAATTATACAACATGCAGCCTGCCAGAGTACCCATACATCTTCATTTTAGAACCTAGAAGAAACCAAAATTTTCCATGGGCCAGGGGAGGGTCACTTCCAGACCTGTCGCTGCGTGTACTGTATTACAGCATCGTTACTCCATATAAACTGCTGTTCTCCCCTTCAAACCACCAAGTTTGCCCACAGTTGTTAAAACGAAAGCTACTGCACGGATACACAGAGCCCAGAGAACACACATCTGCAGTACACACTACATACTTTACAAACCAGACATGAATAACTCTACAGACACCCTATTCCCCTCACCTCCACACACAATGGAAAGTGGTTCAAACTGACACACAATTTGTGACGTGTAAGCAGACTTCATGGAGCCGTGCTTCCTTGGCAATCGACCTGGCCCTTGTTCAACACTTTTTAAAAGTCTAAGCGATCATGTTAAATGAAATCGTCATCGACTATGATGGTTCCTTCAACTTGCTCAAGATCTGCGGGGCGAGACAACGATGTGAATGAATGAAAACATCCCCCATCCCCTGCCAATGAAAAACTCCCCCAAAGTCTCTTCTACCCTGCTTAAAAAAAAAAAAAGCACTTCAAAGAGGGGACTGTTAAGAGCTTTTATTTGCTTTGGAGAACCAATGATTCCTCGGGGAATCCTGGTGATAGCTTGGTCTGACCTTGGACAGAAGGATCAGTTTCTCGTGTGAATTTAGGGCTTCAAAATACACTAGCTACATTCTAGACAGACATTTTTATTTATCCTGATATTTCTATAAATTCTAATTTCTTAATCATATACTATTTCCTTTATAAGCCTTGATTTATACGTAATGTTCTCCTTACTACCTGCCATTCAGCAAAAGCAAACTGTACAGTATTTGAAGAGATGATGAGTTTGTACAGAAGTCTCTAGTAATTGACCAGACACATTTGGCATGACTATATTTTAGTCTCCACACCTCTTGATATGCCAAACAGCATTCTCCTAATTTAACAATCCACTATCCTGCAGTAGAGATTATCTGTATAAACCATCTGGCATTCCCTTATAGAATCAAAGAGTAAACATTCAAGAAGTAGCATGATATAAAATTATTTAGAGGAGAAAAGCACATGTGCACACATACACACACAAACACACATGTGCACGCACACACACACACAATAGCAAAAAGCAGCATACAACCAAATATATAACCATTGGCTTGGCCCTCAGAAGTATGTGTTTTTATATTTAGAGCCCAAGTGTAAAGGAACAACAGTTTAAAAAAATAAAAATTGCATAAGTGTGGCTTTTTAAACAAGTGGCTATAGGATCTCAATATTAGCTTATTACACAAAGTAATATTTAGGGATCCATTTGAATACACTGAGTAATCCATTCCAACAATCTGCCTACCTATTAGTAGCAGGATAAGAAACTTAGCTCAGCAGTCCCATAAAGATCAAAGCTAGGTAAACTGACTGGCTGATCAGCAACTAGCAGAAGTATCTTTTAAGAGACATCAAAGCCAACTTTCTCTGTGAATAAAAGCAAAGTGAATTTTGTGAGTCCCTTGTGGAGATCAAGAAACACGGAACCACAAGTGACTGTTTCTTTGAGACGTGAAAGGGCCAAGCAGTCCTTTAGAAATAGAAAAGGGGGACCCACGAAAAAATTGCTTTGGAAAAAATCCAAAATATCTATTAACAAGAGAGCCAAAAAGAAATTATTGACCTTTGTTCAATTTGCAAACACAAAGTAATACAGTTGTAGAATAGACAGTGGCGGTATGGCAATTACTTATTAATTGGCATTCTTCTCTAAGACCAATGTTTTGGCTTCTAAACTCAGGCAAGGTTGTCATCTACGGCATAAGTTATCACCTGATAAGGTTTGCGAAAGCTGCCCTGCAAGGACCCCTCTCAGATTGCAAACGGCAGCTGGGCAGTTTACACGGTTGAGTGCTGGCAACAACGTAAGAAAATCAAACGAGAATTTTAAAAATGCAAATAAATGCAAAATTGTCATCTTTTCCAAATAAATACTTCTTCTCTCCTATTCCCCTCAGGAAAAGAAAAAAGAAAAAAAAAACACGAAGGGGTCAATGAGGAAAAAAAGGGGATATCTGTAATACTTTCGACAATAAAATACACACACACACACAAAGTGCAACATTTAACAAATAAATTAAATAAAGCAGTTTTGCTTTGTTAAGGAATTTTATATAAAAAGAGTTTGGAGGTCAATTCAGTCCTTAGTGCTTTCCCCTCTCTGTCTCTCAAACACACACACACACACACACGCACGCACGCACACACGCACACACGCACGCACGCACGCACACGCACACGCACCTTGAACTATCTTCCATCCACACAGCCACCAGAAGCCCAATGTCGTCCCCACGTCCACCTCACTCCAGGAGTGACAGCAGCAGGGACAGTGTCAGCTCGCTCAGCTTGGGCAGGCACATCACAGGAGGACGGGTGCTTGTGTCGAGTTTGGTTTGGGTGTCGACTTACTCTCAAATTTGTCAAAACAGTAGCAGCACAGAAGACCAACTTAACTGAAGCCTTGTCAGTTTCCCTGAAAACCTGACTACTTGGAAATCCATCATTTCAATATGCACAGCAGGAAGAATTGGTTCAGCTTCAGATCCATGTATTTAAATACGGCAACAGCTAAATATATACATATATATATAAAATCCATCCATCCTGATTTCTTCTAATTCTGCCTAAGAAGATGAAACCTATCTATTTGATGTCAAAGAGAGAACTCAGTCAGAATGATGAATTAAAATAACAACTTATTCACAGCAACTTATTCATAGGCACAAAAATTTGTCAATTACTTTGTCCCCAGGACTTCCTCTTCCAACTGCTGGAATGATCCTGGATTTCGGCAGCAACACCCCTCTCAAGGCTTAAGATGGTTCCCTATAGAAAGAGGCCACCCTAACACCAGCTCCAGTAGGGTCAGGGGGAGGGGGGCAACCCCACTTCCAGCAACTTTGGGCATTTTCAACACTTCTGACGGAGTGGTGTTCACACCGGGCTGGCTGAGACTAGTCCCTGCAGGTTCAATAGCAGAGAGCTCAGAGGTGAACTTTGACTTTTCACATTCACATAGATGTGTGTGAATGAACAGATTCTACATGGCTACTGTCCGACTGCTTTTCTGCCTTGAAGAAATTTGCTTTGTGTTTTAGCGGGCGCCATACTAAAAGGTGTACTTCACAGATCCAAAGATGTGACCAGGGTGTTCAAAATGCTTCCTTGGAGTAATTTGTTTTGGAAAAGTGTTCAGAATGAAAATTTTGAAGCCTATAGCAGCACATTTTTTGTTCCCTAAAAATATAAAGTGTTCATTTTACAGGAAACTATAGAGAGTTGGGGCAGAGCGTGGTCACCTGCGTCTGCGGCGCTTGGCTGCTCCCCTGGGAATGGAGCGTAGGGTGTTTGTCGGGAGAGCACAGGGGCCGCCCAGGGGCACCCCAGGCCCGGAGGAGAGTCCGCAGCAGTGGCTCCAGGAGTGAGTGGACCTTCTGTAATCATCCCCTTCGGATTTCTCAGGAAGAGAGAAGTCCAGGCACACATCTGTACACACAGAAATCCTACAGCTCACACACCTGACACTGTGTACTGCAGATGCTGGGTTAGCAGGTGGAAAAGAAAATTGGGTGGGAGGGACAGAAGGAACTGGTGATTAATTTAGTCCTTGACATGCTACGTGGAGAGTCATATCTGCGAAAGAGAACCGAAGAGAGAACACAGGTGTTAGAAGACACAACAGAAATTCACTCCTTGGTAAAAAATACATATACATATATATTTTAAAGTCTAGATATTTAGAACGCAGATGTATAATAGAAATACCATGCGAGCCATATAATTTTAAATTTTCAAGTGGTCACATGAAAAAAAAAAAAAAGAGAAACAGTTCAAATTAATTTTAATAATATAGTATTTCATTGAACCCAAGGTATTCAACATATTATCATCTCAATATGTAGTCAGATTCCATGTTGAGAAGTTGTACATTCTACTGTCACTGAGCTACCTCGCAGTCCTTTGCCCAGTGTTTGCGATCGGTGCGTATTCCCCCCATTCAGCACATCTCAATTTGGACTTGACCACATTTCAAGGGTCCGTAGTCACATGTGGCCAGGGGATTGGACAGCAGAGCCTCCTACTTACTGCTCTTGCTTTAAGTGTTTAGCTCTAACAACAGTCTCTTCCAAGTCACTGTTGACACTGTAGCTCTTCAGAGAAACATGATGCATGTTCTCATTCCCAGGTGGAGCCCACGCGCCATTTCTCACCCACCAGCACTGGGGATGCCAAGGCAGGTCAGACACAGCTTCTAACTCGGCTCTCCCCAAGAACGAGTTCTCGGTCCTGAGAGGGGTGATGACGTGCCTGGGCAGAGTGCCCCCGAGTCCACTCCACTCACCACCAGCAGCTCATGAGGTCTCAGGGTGGAGGTCTGGGCTGGTCCCGACGCAGGGGCCGGCCCTTGGACCAACCCCAATAAACTCAGCTTTCAGGAAGAAACTGAGGTTCAGCGTCCTCGTACCAGCTGGAACCCTGGGCCTGTCTGTGGTCTTGCCTGTGGGTTCTGCGCAGAGCTCATGGTGGTCGTGGGGTGGGGAGGAGGAGACAGAGGGTGGGGGCAGCCTCATCCCTGAGAACGTGTGGGAACTGCCCGGCACAGGAAATACGACAGACACTGCGAAAAACCCAGTTGCTCTTAGGATAAGCAAGTGGAAAAAAAATGGAAATTGTATCAACGGGAAAAAGACTTAAAAAGAACGCCGTGGCTTAACAAATACTGCTTTCTGGTTTTGCCTCCACCGGGACAAGGGTCTCAGATTCCTCCCTTCTCCAATCATTTTCTCTCCGCTCTCCTGACTGATGAGTGGCAATAACGTGAACAACCTCACGTACTCTGCAGCAATAAGCAGGATATAAACTATAAATAAACAGAAAAAATCAGGGCATAGAAAGGGATTATAAAAGCAGATAAGAACAAAGTGGATAATAAAAAGAAGAGAAATATAGAACAAAAATTGAATAAAAATTTAAAAAGAAAAGAGAGGGAACTGATTCTTTTTCAAGAGCGTCACCTCCTTGCTGACAAAAACATACCCAGGGAACCTATTCGCTCGCTACCATCCCTTGCTCCAGTGGCACAAAGTCACTCACAATTACAAAGCTGCTGAATTAAAACTGGTTTAAACAACCTCGTAGGGTAATGTTCATACCATTTTTAGAAGTCGCAGAGGGAGAGACTTTTCTTTGGGAAACGTTTCTAATGGTCAGCCTTTCTGCTGAGGTTCTGGGCTCATGTTAGAAGCAGAAAGGGAAAAGTTGGGAGAGCACGGCCAGAGTTGTCCTTTAACCCCCTGGGCCTGCCAACCAGGAGGCTCGGGAGTGCTTTCTGAAGACACCCCTGAAATCCCACTTCAGTTTCCTCACAGCTTCGTTTTTCCAAGCACCCGATCTCAGAGTCCCCCTGGGTCCCCCTGGGTCCCCCTGGCCAGGTGAGATGGTCTTCCTGCATGCCTGGAGGCAGGGAGGTACTGAGTACATACCTTACATTGTAAGATTGTGGCTTAATTGTTGATTACAACCAAGCCATGTTGACAGAGTCAAACATTAGACACACAGACTCGATGGGGCGGCATCAATAACTCCAGCAGACCATGAAGGGACACGGTTTCCGCTAGAAAGGCCTTTCATTCAAAGCCCCACTCCCCACCATGGGCAAGATTTGGCACGTTTGGCAAATAGTTCAGAAGAAAGGGGGGGGGGGGCACGAGGAGGCCCAACCTGCTGGCTTCATTCCCTCCAGGAGGGCGAGAGAGGAGAGCTAGACTGGGACAGGTTGCCGACAGGAAAAACACAGGAACTTCACCAATAAAAGGTCCTTTATTAGAAAGAGGTGCTCGTCTTCGTCCCGAGTTACAGATCTTTCCGGGCCCGCCTGCAGAGCAGTCTTTCCAGCAGGCCCAAGAAAAACACAGTCGGCTCGGATACCCGCATCCACCTCCTGACTATCTGGGTGCTCATCTCCTCAGAGAAATTTGGGAGAGCAAATGAATATGACTTGTAAGTGGGTTGGTCTCAGGAGAAACGTTCTGACTGTTCGGATCACACGGACGGGCCATGGGACAGGCTGGCGCGTGAGGACATTCACAGCCCCGTGTGCTCACCCTCTGGGACGGCTCAGGTCACCATTCACTCGCATGCACTCATTCACTCATTCAAAGCAGCGTACTGGGCCAAGTGACCTGATCGGACTGTCCCTGGGTCTCTCCCAAACTACAGATGCTAATTCAGAATGGCAACATGTGACCAGATTCAGAAGGAAACAAAATCAGCTTCCTTTAGAAGGGGTGGAGAAGGCTGAAGCAAGAAGTTCATTATATAAGGGTTTTGCAAGAAGTATTTAAAGGCCCCCCTCCCCCGCCACCCTCAACTTTAGCTCTTGCAATTGCTTGCAGTGGATTTACGCTTAATCCGAACAGTACATAGTCTCAGGTTTTCTTTTGCCTGCCACAGTGCAATGCCCACATGGTAAGAATTACCAGCTACTGAACAGAAGTGGATTTATCTCACGGGAGCGTGAGTGCTCAGCCTTTGTAACCCTGAGCACCACGACGTGGCGGAGAAATCGAGCAGAGCCCACTGCAGACAAAACCAGTTCTTCCTTCCCGGCGTCCTCCGTGCAAGGCCTGCCCCACGCTCCTCGGTCCCCTCACCCTGAGGTCCTGCTGTCTGTTCTTTCTACGCCTGTCCCCAGACACCTCAGCACCACTCCTGTTTGTGACAGCTGTGGCTGGGGCTCTTCTAGGACTTCACTCTTCCTTCCCATTGTCTAGTTCAGTCCTGGGAGCAAACCTGTGGGGGCAGGGCTGTGATCAGCCCCTCTCTGTGCCACAGTTTCCGTAGCTGTTAAACGGCCAAGAACCTTGTCTGGAGCTACAAGGCTGGGTGTCCTTACAACTCAACTAAAACACACGGCAACAGAACGAGGAAGCGGACGTGAGAACCCAGCTGCCATTTCTCGAGCCAAACTGCAGAGATTTGTAAGAAGAAGAAAAAAAAATGTAAAACAATGCCATTCGGCTGAGTTTGTTTTGGAAAATTAGTATTTTTAATTAAAAATGGCATTTATGGCCCTGACCAATGTGGTTCTGTGGTTAGAGCACTGGCTCACCCAACGAAGGGTTGTGGGTTCGATTCCCAGTCAAGGGCACACACCTGGGTTGCAGGATCAATCTCCGGCCCCCGTTGGGGTCGAGTGGGAGGCAACCAATCAATGTGTCTCTCTCACATCAATGTTTTCCTCTCCCCCTCCCTCCCTTCCTTCCACTCTAAAAATCAGTGTAAAATATCCTCAGGTGAGGATTAACAACAACAAAAAAGGCACTTACGTTAACAGGAGTAACATTTAGATCTTTTGTTTTAATTTCCAATATAAAACATATCAATAGCTATAACCTAGAAATATAAAAGCTGTTTGATGCCATTCATATTTTTAAAGAACATAAAGGGTCCTCGGGCCAGGAACTCCGAAAACTGCCGCAGAGCAGAGCAGAGGCCTCGGTCCAGGATCCACCCTAAAAGCTGAGACCTCGGGGGCCACCCTGCCTCTGGAAAGCAGAGTGAAGAACGCGACCGGACTGGGCGACGACCGGGGTGAACCAGGGGCTCGCTCCGCGCCAGGCATCCGTCAAGCGGTCGTACCCAGTCCCGAGTCAGGTCCTCACAGCCCATCAGTAGGCAGTGTCACTGGTCACATTTTACAGAGGACACTGAGGAATGCAGAGGCGAAGTGACTTGCCCAGTATGTGGCCAAGCCGGGGTTCGACTCCAGGCAGTGCACCCCTGAACCCCCCATCGCCCAGCTCCCCCACGTGCAGCAGAACCCTGCGTGCAGTCCCGGGACTGTCTTTCCGTTGCTGGGCTGTAGCGGCAGCAAGGCGAGCGGCCAGTGGTTTAGACGCAGGCTGTGTGTGGCTAAGGCACCCTGGGGCCTGCTGCAAACGAGGCTTCTCGGCCTCGTTACTTTGCTGGGCTAACTCTGAAAGCAATTCCTTGTCTACCCTGCATGTGCGGAGTGAGCCCATTTCTGCTGGGGGCCGGTCACCTGGTGCATCTAATACATAGATACTGTTTTTTATTTGTGATTGGGTGTCAAAACCAGAAGGTCAAGGCGAACCCCAACAACGGTACAAGATAGGTTGGGTCCAGGTATCTAAAACAGAGGAAAGAGTAACAAGACAGAGAGTCAGAAAAGGAGAGAATGGCAATGAACACGTGCCGTCTTGAGAAGTCGGCCGGAACCTAGGGATCGACAAGGACCAAACGGCAGGGCCTTGTTGCAGCAGCCAGGGGCTGAGAGGACTCCATTCTGCCCGGGTGCGGTGGGGGTTCAGAGGAGGTGGAACTTCCTCAGTTCAAAGAAAGTAGAGCCAGTGGCCTAAGTGGACCTAAAGTTTAGGGCTTTAGTAGCAAGTAGTAAATGTGGGAGGATATCCAGCCACATAAACAGCACAGGGAATCTGAGGTTTAAGTGCTCGCTAGAAAACACTGGTGTTCCCATCTTTATTTTTTTCTTTGGGTGGAGGGACATATTACTTTTATTTTAAAAAATGTTTTTTCTTTATTGATTTTAGAGAGAGAGGAAGGGGGAGAGAGAGAGAGAAACATTGATGAAAGAGAACATGGACTGGCCG